GAGCATGTGAACCTCTTTTTTGGTAAATACTTAACCTTAATCAGAAAGTGATGTCTATTCAAACTTGACCCTGGTTTTTAGGAAAGGTTGTTTTTTTCAGGCACTGCGATACCATGTAAATACCAAAATACATTGGTAATCATTTAGCACCATGGTATGCATGAGGGTATCATGCATGTTTTTACCATTTGATACAATCATGACACCACAGCACTTTTTTTGTAAGATGTGTAATATGTGCTTCACACCTAAAAGCAGCTAATAAAATAAGTTCTTGTTAGAAAAAAAAAACTTTTTTAATCCTTTAATAATAATTATGTCTTACTAACACCAAAAACGTGAACTTACTCAACTGGCAAGTGAGGAAACAAGAAATAAAGAAGCAAGTGACATATGGAGCTGATCACGTCCTCTCTCTCAGAGCATGGGCTGGGCCTATTCTCTAAGAAAAGTTTCAGATTGCCTCTGCTGGGCTCACAACAGAGAGCAACAGCGTTCATTTGTTCATTGCTAATAGTCTTCTGAGGAAGCATGTAATTTGTAAGCACTCTCTGTCAGTGGGACGAGGCCGTGGCTTGTGTGGAGCAAAGAGACCCAGACTCTGCTCTCAGGATATTCCTCAACATCGAGGAGAAAAGCTCCAAGATCTTCTTCAACATTGGCTGTCTTTATTTAAACAACAGTGAGTTAGATGAAGCTGAAAAGGTACAGTTACATGGCAGATTCTGTGTTTTATGCTACTTAAGAAACAGTACATTTAAATAAGGTATTTTCTTGACTACTATGCTCTTTGAATTATGATTTGACAATGTTTTTGCTTTTTTTAAAAAGCTTGTGGCTGTAAAAAGGAAGTAAAAGTGGTTTCACTCTTTATGGGGAAATTTATTCCTGTTATACATCTGAAGGCATTTGACAGAAGTATTGGCAAAGATGAGCACCTGGCTGCTGCCTTTTTTCAGAGAGGAGTTACATTCTGCAAAAAGGAAAGGTAAAGCCATTACCATCTCTTCATTAAGAAATATTTTACGCCACTCGGATAGTTCAAGTGTTCTTATAGAGGGGACTACAAAACGCCACATACTGTCTCTTCGGAAGAAATGTCTTGACACTTTATTAAAATGTCCATAAATGTATCTTCAGGTTTAAAGAGTCTCTTCTGGATTTCCAGCAGGCGTTTAAGCAGTTACGAGGAAATCAGCTAATAGATTACAAACCTCTAGGGCTGAGATATAAACTCTATGCTTGTGAGGTAAGACCAGAGATGTGCCACACATTGAACATTTTATGTGCACAGAATCTGTTTTTTTACCTTTATTGTTTTTATTCCTTAATAGTTGTGGTGCGAGTGACTCAGTTATTTCAAGAGTGAGTAGTGTGAATGATTGATTTATTCGCAGTGACGCACTTGATGGGTTAAGTCAAATCAGTCCACTCTCTGATATGGTAATTTTGTCATATGCGATTTAGGTGCTGCACAACGAGTAGTACAGGCTCAGTTGGGAAAATGGGAGAGAGCTCAAGAGAATCTTCTTACTGCACTGAGCCTGAGGGCAGATGACAAGTTCAGCCATATTGACCATGCTCTGGAAGCCATACTGGTATAACTGCTAAAGTTGTTCCACATAATTATCCATCCTACAATTTTAAACAGAAATCACTGAATAATTTTGCAGTTTTTGCAGTGATATAAAGCCAGTTCTGAAGATTATCTCAAAATAATTGGTAGCATATTGTTGTTTTGTAACATATTGCAGTTTTCCTAATTAGAAATTGGTGAAATTTTATGTTGCATAATAACTGCTTCTGGGTAGGTTTTGTGGGAAGTTGTGTAAACTGCAGGAGGGGCAAAATTTACAAGACAGATGACTTCTACTAGTCACCAGTCATGCTTCTACATCCTTGTACTTCTTGTGACATTCTTTGTAAGAATTTTAATGACAAATTAATGACATTTTAAAATTGTTGCACCAGCATACCCTTATTTGAAAAATGAATGTATTAACTTATATATATAGCCTATATATACCTATGTGTTCCAGCAACTAGCTTCCCATCTGAGAGGGTTTTTAGTGAAAAAAAAAAAAAAAAAAAAAAAAAAAAAAAAAAAAAACTCTGTTATATTACACTGATGAGCATAGTGCAAAACAGCTTGAACTGTATGTGGTTATTGTCTTGATGTGTTGTTTTAAAATTGATAAACACTGATTTCCTCTTTTCAGAAGCAGAAGCTCTTTCCTTTGGTAGAGATTCGAGCAGGGCTGCTGTTCAAACCCAATAAGAACTATGTGGCAGAGCTGGAGAAAAAGGACTATCTTGGAAAAGCCAAGGTACCCACCATCCCCATTATCACATCAATACAGTGTGCAATGTTACTGAAGAGATCCCTTTTCTGTTTGGCCAGTAAATTGTTTTTTATTTATAGGTTGTATCTTCTATTGTACCCGCAGATGACTTTTCTGGGTTTGCTCCACTTCAGCCTCAAGTAAGTAATGAAGTTCTTAACATGTTAACATAAGAACAAAATAAGCATAACAGAGAGAGGTTTGAAGACAATATTAATGATAATCTAATGTTCAAAACTGTCATTTTAATGACCACAGGGCATTACTTTAATTTGTGTATTGTTAGGCTGACAATGTTCCATCTACACCAAAAGTCCCAGAAGTACTAAGGTAAGACTAGTTTAGCGTCATGGACACGAAGAACGATATTTAATGGATCTTAACCTTAACTCTTTAGAGCTGAAATATATTTGCAGTTTATAGAGTTTTTGTATTTTTTTGTCCTCGTTTTACATAAATGTCATTATCATCAGGGTATTTGAAGGTGAGCCACACACTGTTCTCTATGAGTTTTACCCTGAGACCAAAGAGGAGCTGGCTGTGTTGCCTGGCATCATTGTCTTCGTTTTTCAGAAAGGAGCTGACAACTGGGCATATGTTGTTTTCAATGAGAAGGTATATTTTGTTAGATTAAAAAAAAAATTAATCATAGAGGACAGTACAATGAGAACAGGAAATTATGGAGAGGTGGAATTATACATTGAACAAAAAATAAATCTCCCAGCCAGTGTTCACTGTCAAAAGAACATTCCAATATCTTGCTAATGTAATCAACACGTGTTCAAAGTAGAAAAAATGCCCTCTTTTCTTTTCTCGCTCTCTCTCTCTCGTTATTTCCAGCGGGGTCTTGTACCTTATAACTTCCTTGAACCCTTGGATATTGTTACAATGACATCAACACCAATGCAGGTACAGTAATTGCATTTTGAACAAGTATTGCAAACAGCAATAAGTAGCAAAATGTTGGGAGTAAATACCAAAATGCAGGCACACAGTAATGAATTGTACATAGATTTATCATTCAACCCTACTTTTGATGCCTTCATGTGCACCTGGGAAAGTCGTACCTCTGAGTCGGGCATTTGTCGTTATGATAACACGGAAGTAGCATAAACAAACATGATGACAAATTTTAATTTCTATCACTTACGTACATGGTATCACAATAAAATGTTTTTGTCACATAAAGCAAACCATTAAAGTTGTGTGGTTTGTCGATAGATAGATCATAGATGTCAATTCTCTGGCAACTCATTTATTATGTTGTTTGTAGAAATCCATGTCATCGTATTCTGTCCTCCAAAAACCACTATTATTTCCTCACATTACAGCTAAATTACTTTTTGTGTCCTACATTATTAAGAAATGTCACACGTGACCTCTTATAGATTGAACCATTAAATGAAAATGATGATATACCAGCTCCACCAAGAAGAGCACCACCTAGTAGACCAGTGGGTACAGAAGGCCTGAAGACTGTGAATGCAGAGGTTCAGTATTCCCTACATAATCATGACAGTCACAGTTTATTAACAGAAAATGGATATCAACTAACATAACTATCAACCAGTGCTTACATAACATATCAAAAGGCCAACTTTTCTTAGATATAGCCTCATTATGTTTGTGGCATCATGAACAGATTATATATAATATGATTATTTCTCAAGCTCTACTGTATTCCTCACAGACTAATAACACTAGGGAATTCTCAGGCTGCATTGTGAAAGTGCACATTCAGTTCACTATAGCAATCAGAATTACACATGGACAACCATATGGAGTCATTCTTCAGACGATAAGCTTTAAACTTAAGCTGCCTGCATCGACGTTAACTTTATGGTAACTATACCAATTTTAACATTCCCAGCACTGTATTGAAACATTTCAGGGAAAAAAAAAGTTGTAATGTATCTTTCAGTTATGCCAAGGAAGGCTTTGATGAGAGAGTGAATCTTGAAGACTCTGAAATGGAGGCTGTGTGGAACAGTGTGAAGGATAACCGTCTTACGCTGTGGTGTTCGGCGTCTGAGGTAAAATACAACAGCTTGACTCATCTATGTTCACAGATTGAAATAACAGCATAATATTGCTTATTTATAACATCTGACTGTACACTACACTTAAAAATAGTAATATTAAAATAAGACATACTGCTGTTCAGCTTTACCAGTAACTTAACCCCCAAATATATTTTCTGGCACTTCCAAAAACTGCTGTCTGAAAGGATAAAAGTGTACCTCATAAGAAAGTGGTGGCTCTGTACTCTTATGCCTCTTCTACCCGAGGATCTGGATTTCAAACAGGGAAATGTCATCACAGTTCTTTCCAAAGGTAGGAATTGAAAATGTGATACTTGTAATTTACTAATATGGGCATAAAATACAGTATGAACTATTAAGGCATTCTAGAGATGATTTTTGTTGACTTTTTGTTTCATTTTCAGTCAATGATGAGTGGCTTGAGGGTCAGTGCAACGGGAAGATTGGCATATTCCCATCATTCTTTGTCAAAGCACTTAATGGAGATGAGCTATGTGAATGAATCATTCATCCAACAGTTAGAACTAATGTCATGATTTGATCATTTGGGAAGAACCTTCAGTATTTTCAGGTCTATATTTTTTTTTTATTATTAATATTGTTAAATTCATGCAAGCGCTTGCTGCTTCGCTGTCCCACTTTGGTTGTGTGCTACAGTCATTCCACTTATTATATTGAGGTCATATTTTTGATCAATACAAAGACAACATTAAAGCACATTTGACATTTATATATTTTTTCTTATTAAATTCACTTTCTATAATTTGCTACCATTGGCAGCACAATAGAACAACTTCTATTTAACAAATATTAATTTACCTTGCTTGATTTTTGACCAGTAGCAGAAGAAACACTCGCCCTTTCCAAGGGAATTAAAACATGTGCCCAAAAGACGTATTATTACAATTACATCTCCTTAAGTATACTGATGCGATTCATGTGCTGTGAGTGTTAAAGTAATCCTCTGATCATTTCTTATGACAGTCCAATAATAAATTACTTTTATGATTTTTGAAGAGGTGTTGAAGCATCTTTATTTCCCACACCCTCCTCCTCATAAGCGATTGCAATGCCTCTCCGTCCCTCCACAGCTTTCACCACTGGTGTCTGCCCCAGTTTGGGCTCCAGTCCCTGCCAACTACGGCCAGCCAAAAATGATGCTGCAAAACGAAAAGATCATGATTGTATTCTACATTTGCATGACTCAAACTTTTCAATTCCAAGCTAACAAGCTGAAGAATTACCACTGTAACTACAGCTCAGTACCTGCTGTGTTTGTGTTGGCCATAGTGAGAGTCTGATTCCTTGAGACGAGTGAAGACGACTCTGATGTGCCATTTATGATCTCCGATGAGGTGGTGGAACAAGTTCGCAGAGCTCCTGTGATTAGAGAGACATCTGTGGTCTCTTCCTCAATGGCAGACTGGTCTGGTTCAGGGAAGCCCACATAACTGCTTCCACCTACAACATATATTTTTAATTAGATGCCCAGAACAATCCCATATATGGACACTGACATTATTCAAAGCCCATATTAGTACAAATATATTAAACAACCCAATAGAAATATCACAAATCTTTTTTAGTGCTCTAGGATTATTTGTAAAAATGACACAATGACATACCAGGCAGTAAATCTCTGAAGTCTGAGACATATTCTCCAGTCCACTCTCTGTGCTTATTGCAAGCCAATTCCAACTCATAGGGAGTCACCACAGGTCTGTAGAATTCACTTGAATCTAGTAGTGAGTTCTCTGGACAGGCAACTAGCACGTAAACATCAATTTCCAAGAAGTTAGCGAGCTTGGGAACATTGATCTTTCCCATAGCAAACATATAGCTCTTCTTGCCTGCTTTGTGAACAATGTCTTTCAGCTGCTCTATGATGGTCAGATAGTTGGCGACACCCAGGGTGCCCACTAAAATGCCCACCACACTGGCATCTTTGGCCTGCTCAATGGCATAATAGCGTTTCATCAGTGCCTTGTTGATTTTAACCGATTCCACTCGTCCTGTGTGTGTTTCTGGATTGAATGAGCTGAAGGCACAATGGTTCCAGGTCATCATGAAGTTTGTAAGAGTCAGGCCTTCCTGGCCAATGTAAAACATACTGTAATTATCAACACTCTGCCCTGCTTTTACAGTAAACTGTCTGCCAAATTTAAAAATGACTCTATCATCCTGTGAATCTATGTGATCAGTGTCCACACAGCTGTTCTGTATCAGCTCAGCAATGCAGGAATGATCTGTTTTTAGAAGAGCGACCACAACACTGGGGTAGATATCACACAAAAGCATCCTGAGATCACCTGAGGAGAGATGAGATAAATGAACTTCAGGCACACATTCATGAAAATGAACATTATTAAACAGTAGCGTACACTGAACAGTAACAGTTACCTATAGCATGTGAATAGGTGACATCATACAGTACGATGACATGACTTTGGCAGTCAGGATAAAGCTGTTTAAAGGCTGCAGCACACTGCTGGACATCAATAGGTCTTTTCCCAAACACATACAAAAGGGGTAGTCTTCTGCATGGGCTGAGGCAAGATGGCCCATAATGCACTATACAGTCTGCTCTCACGTGTTCTGCCGCTACCTCATCCACACAACAGCTGAAAATGAAATAAACAGGCCTGGAAGTCAGAATTCTGCTTGTGCAGCCACTCAAAATTAACCTGTGGTAGTTGCTTTGGATAAAAACCTCTTTTAAAATATAATGTAAATGAAATAGGGTTCTTACCTGCCATAGGATGTGTCTCCTAAAATGAATGTTTTGGCTTTGGTTTCATTCTCTATTTCAGCAGAGACCTGGACGGCATCAGGCAGGAGTTCATCTGGAAACTGTAAGGCCACCTGCGATTAAAAAGGACATTTTGATGCCCTAAATAGATCAGTTGGACATATGGTTTGCGTAAACATGGCAGAAGACTTCTAAAGATGTTGTCTTGCCTTTTTGAATCGATTACTACTGATAAAATGACACGTCTCAGCTATCTGATACAGCTGCACCAAATTTCCAGCATGGCTGCCTGTCGTGATGGACACACTGACAGTGCGGTGAAGAACTGCCTCACTGCTGCTACTGAAAGCATCTGTCATCTTCTCTCAGGAGTACTCTGGGTCTAAGAAGAATCAGAGTTATAATTAAGCAATAAGCAGCATTCCATTCTTCATACTGCAGGAAAGACCAAACATATCAATGGAATTATACTTCCCCACAACAGTACACAATCTAATATTTCACTTTTATCTAACCATAAAAGTAACTCGGAGCTGTCATTAAAGGGTCGAAAAATTAATTAGTCACTGTCATTACTCTGACTTTCATGTAAGTGAATCACACTTTTATTAAAATATACAACTGATATGCCTTCCTCTCCTGAAGACAATATTTGATTTAATTGCAGTTAACAGGATCATTCTAATACATTATACAGTCTAATAAGTTGCCGTGATCCAGCTGGGAGTTGTTATAGGAACATCTTGAAGCAGCTAAAATTAGCTGACCTATAGATAAATTAAAAAGATAACTGAATATGCGTGCAGCCAAATTACATATTATAATTAACCACAACAAAGCGCAACATACCAAAACACAGATACACATTACTTGTTAGTTTCCACGTGAGTTTACGGAATGCTGCAGACTCTTCTTCATCGTTCAGCCCCTATGATTTACGTTCATCATTCTGCCCTCTAGTGTCCTGGAGAAACTGCTAGTGGCAACTTGATTTACAACTTGTTTTATGGCGGTTGGCAAACCAGCTTTAGGTGCATTTACCGCCACCTACTAGGATGGAGTGTGGAGCATTGACGGTAAAGGTACAAAAAATAAAAAATTAGTAGTGATTCTTTAAATCCTGTTTATTAACTCTGTATCTTTGAGATACTTAAATAATATGTGAAACATTTCTATAGTCACATCTTTATTTAACAATTTCTGAAGTGAGATCTGATTTATTTCTATATGAAGTGCTTCTGTAAGTTGTACTCTTTCGTTGTCATATCCTTTACATTTTATTAAAACATGTTCAACTGTTTCAGGAAGATCACATTTAACACAAAGTCCAGACTCATCTTTTCCTATTATAAATAATGATTGATTAAGTGCAGTGTGTCCAATTCTAAGGTGAGATATTATGCTGTCTTCCTTTCTATTCCCAAAAATTCTCCTCTCATTTCCAACTGTTTTTTTGAATATTATATAAATGCCGTCCTTTATTCTCACCATCCCATTTACTTTGCCATATATCTTTTAATGCTTTTTTAATTAGCCCTTTTATTTCTAATTTACTCATTGGAACATTAAATTCTATGTCTGGATGTTTTAATGTTTTTTTCGCTATTTGATCCACCACTTCATTACCTTCTATTCCTATATGTGCAGGTATCCATACAAAAGAGATCATTGTTTTTGTTTGTATTCTGAACAAACTTTGTAAAATGTCTGATAAAATGTCTTGTCTAGTTGAAGATTTACCACTCTTTAAACTTGATAGTGCTGAAAAAGAGTCTGAACATATGACTACTTCAGGTATATTAATGTCTTCAACCCACTGAAGAGCCAATGATATGGCAATAATTTCTGTTGTATAAACTGATAGGTGATTAGATGTTCTTTTTGCTATTCTATACCTGAACCTTGGAACATATATTGCTGCTGCTGTGCGTCCTGTTTCAGGATCTTTAGATCCATCTGTATATATATGAGTTACTGATATATATTTCTGATCTAAATATTTCTGTACTATTGAATCTTTAGATTCTTGTCTGTTTTTATCATTTATACTCACTAAAACCTGAAAGTCAACTGCAGGCATTGGAAATAACCATGGAGGTGTTACTGGCAACACAACAGTATTGCAAACATCACAATTACTTTTCCAATTTGATGTGCCTCATTATTTGCTTTCCATCCAAAACTAGTTATATTTATGTATTCATGTTCCCAACAGTTTTCTAATACTTCTTTAACTGGATGTATTTCTGAATGCCCTTTTACAGTAGCCCAATATACCAGTTTCAGCTTCAACCTGCGAAGCTCCAGTGGCATCTCATTCATTTCAACCTGTAAAGCTGATACAGGAGAAGTTTTAAATGCTCCACAGCATAATCGCAATGTCTGGTTTTGTATTTTATTCACCTTATCTAACAGAGATGCTCACTCTTGGGTTCACATTCGACCTCACAAAGAATGTGCACAAAGAAAATACAACAATTCAAGACGAATGTTCTATTAAACAGAATAACTGTCTTGCATTTAATCTGCACCGTATTACAATAAAAATATACACACTTTTTTTGCACATTTGTGCATTTTAAGTCCTCACCTCTCATCATGTTTTCAACATGTAATGAAATAATTTTGACAAATACATGTTCTGTAATCCTTAAATCACTACCAAAACAACACAAGGCACTTTATTTGTCAACAGTTTGTCAGAGCTTTGTCACAGCTGTGCCGATATTCATTACAACAGCACGATTACTTGTGACATTGTTTAAACATGCAGTGTATTTAAACTGCATCATTACATTACATATAAAAATGTGAAACGATCTGATGCACAACATAAACAAATGCAAAGTTAATAGGGTGTGTTTTTAAAAAATGGCTATGTATGTTTAAAAAAAAAAGTGTATGTATTTAGTTGCATGAATCATGGATTTATAACATACTTTGCACCTTCTTTGGTATATTTGTGTACTGTATTGTCTTGGGCTTCATTCAGCTGTTAACACGGATTTTAATAAGCATGAACGTCATGAACTAATGCAAGATGCTGCACTATGTAGGTACTATATAGGTATGTAAATATGATTTATTTTCCTAACAGAACTTGAAATAATAATGCAGGAATGAACATTTGTTCCCACCGGAGATATGAATACCACAGCTCTTTTTATAACCCGAGGCTGATGATACGTTTTCTCAGGAAGAACAATGTCTGCTGATGTTTACATCCATATCCGATAGAATCCAAGTATGACTGTGAGACACATGAATACTGAACCTAGAAGATTTACAAAAATAAAGCATGAATCAAAATAAATACTGAAGTAATACTGAAATAAATACTCTTAATAACTTTTTCTTGAATGACTTCATAAATTAATCTATCAGTAAAAGTTCATCTTGACTTCTGAATCTGTATGATTATGAGAACAAGGACATTCTGTGGCCGTGTGTAAATACTGTATATTTACTGAGAACTGGTGGAAAAATCTCAATATACTCAAATATCAATTCAAGTTACTGATAATTCAAGTGTGCAAACAAGTAAAATTAACAAAATATTCCATATAGTGTTTGGAAAAACAAACATGTTGTGTGTAAACATGATGTGACAAATAAACATTAAATATACAAACATCACAAACATGCAAACATACTACTTTTATATAATTTGAAACTGCTACAGCAGCAGTGAAGATGCATGACCATAATAATTAGCATTATTTTAACATAATAGATTTCCTTAAAGTATCCAGTCTACCACTGGCCATGACTAGTGTTAGAGTGTTTTGTACTTTTAGCCTCATTTTGGAACTTCATTTAATGATTAAGGTCAATAATAATTTTCAGCCTCATTTCTGACTTCAGGAAAAAGAAAAAGAAAAAACAGAACTTGGACTGTTTGCATAGTCCAACAGATGTACAGTACTTTTCTTTGTCAAATTGCAAATGTGAGATCTTGACATTTTTACCTGCCAGATATTTGATAGTATCCAGTTTATGTGACTCCAGCATAGTCTTCCGGCCAGCCACTTCTGTGTCAATTTTCATGTTAGTCTGTGTCACGTGACGATCCTGCTCAGAATGCTAAGAAAGAAAATTCAGGTAAAACATTTTTCACACAAAAAAAAAAACCGAGAAGACATTATTGTCCTGAACACTGGTATGTCTCACCATTTCCAGCAATTCATTCCTGGTCCCAATAAGCTTTCTGTCAAAGTCTGCCGTCTGTACCAAGAGCAAACACACCTCAATTAAAGCATCTCAATTGCCAGCTACAACTCAAATAACTAACAAATCAATGGGTTATTTAACGTAAACTCGGTTCTTTGATAACAGAGTGAGGTGTTTCATTATGAGAATAGTTTTAAGCGTGACCAACTGCGGAAGCTCCTATGACACCACGTCTGTCTTTGACAGACAGGTCAACCTGTGACCAGGCTCCGCCCCACCTATATCGGTCAGGTCGACCCCTGCCAAAGTCATTATAAAGAGATTTCTTCCCGTACCTGTGCAAGGATGGAAGTGCTGGTGAAACACCTCACTCTGTTATCAAATTACCTGGGTTTATGTTAAGTAGTCCATCTTTCTTTTTTTTTACTTTGCTCAGTGTTTCACTATGGCAGATATAGACCACTCCCAGATTGCACCCATATCACTGCTATCACCCATAAAAATTAAATGGGTACAGACCTACCAGCTCCCAGCACTGCATGTGCTAAGGACGGCTCATACAAGTCCAGTCTACAGAACCGCACAAAAGTATGTGGCGTAGCCCAACTTGCCGCTGAATAAATATCTTTGTGACGAGTGGGGCGGGGCCGAGAGCCGTGGGAATGGAGTGAGACCGGTGGAGTAAATGATAATGAGCGACACCTGCGCCACTCACCGGTCTCGAGTCCCACGAAGGAGCTCCGGAAGGATAAAAGGAGGAGTAACGACAGTGAAGGACGAGAGAGGACCAGGCCTGGATTTTATGTTGTTGTTTTATTATGTTTTATGCGCCAGTCGTCTGAGAGTGGCTGCCGCTTTTACTTTCATTTTGTGTTAATTCATTTGTTTATTAAAGTTTTGTGTTTAAATGTTCACCGTTTCCTGCCTCCTTCTTCCCGATCTACAAACTTTGTTACAATCTTGAACAGAAACTCCCCTGAGTAAGGCCCACAATGTAGCCATTCCCCACATGGAGTGGGCTTACAAGCCCTTAAGCAGTTGAAGACCCTTGCAAATATAAGCTAAAGATATAGCCTCTATGATCCAATGAGACTACCATTGACGAGACAACAGCTTCATTTGTGAGGTGTAGCCCAAGACACAAACAGCTGGTCATGAGTCCTGAAACTTGCTGTCCTTTTCACATACATATGAAGAGCCCGTACCGGACATATTGAATTCAACTTCTGCTCCCCCGGAAAAGAGAACGGAGGAGGGTGAAAAGCTGCCAGTTCAGTAGATGGGCACCTATATGCTGAGTGCACTACCTTAGGCACAAAAGCAGGGTTAGCACGAAAGGAAACCTTAGTGAGCCCTGGAGCGAACTGAAAATAAGACGGACTACAGACAAAGCATGTTAGTCACTCGCACGCTTAGCTGTTACTAAAGCTATGAGCAGCACCGTCAGCACCGTGGAGGAAAGCATGAGACAGGAGATCCCTCCATGGAGGAAAGCATGAGACAGGAGATCCCTCTGTGGAGGGAGGCAGAGCTGGACTGGGACAAAAAATCGGCCCTGGCATTTTTTGGTCCAGGCGGCCCACCACCACTTCGATATATATACATATATATATCGATATATCGAAGTGGTGGTGGGCGTATATACAGGTGCATCTCAATAAATTAGAATGTCGTGGAAAAGTTCATTTATTTCAGTAATTCAACTCAAATTGTGCAACTCGTGTATTAAATAAATTCAATGCACACAGACTGAAGTAGTTTAAGTCTTTGGTTCTTTTAATTGTGATGATTTTGGCTCACATTTAACAAAAACCCACCAATTCACTATCTCAACCAAATGAAGCTCCTTCCAACTGTTTGGGACATCTGGAAAATCGATTGTTCGGAGAATAAAAGGTGAACGCTTCAATGAGTCCTGTGTTGTGCCAACAGTGAAGCATCCTGAGACCATCGATGTGCGGGGTTGCTTTTCAACCAAGGGAGTGGGCTCTCTCATAATTCTGCCCAAAAACACTGCCATGAATAAAGAATGGTATCAAAACGTCCTGCAAGAGCCACTTCTTCCAACAATCCTTGAGCAATTTGGTGATGATCCATGCATTTTCCAGCATGATGGAGCACCATGTCACAAAGCAAGAGTGATAAAGATGTGGCTCGAAGATGATTACATTGAAATTTTGGATCCGTGGCCAGGCAACTCCCCAGATCCCAATCCCACAGAGAACCTGTGGTCAGTCCTCAAAAGGCGAGTGGACAAGCAGAAGCCCACAAATTGTGATCAACTCCGAGAACTAATAAGGCAAGAATGGATGGCCATCAGTCAGGATTTGGCCCAGAAGCTAATATCCAGCATGCCAGAGCGAATCGCAGAGGTTATGAAGAACAAGGGTCAACACTGTAAATATTGACTCATTATATATATTTTTAAGACATATGATATATCCTTATTATTTTTCAGTATACCATAGAAACATGTTGAAAAATAATCTACAAATACTGAAGCAGCAAACTTTGCAAAACACAATTTATGTCACTGCCAAAACCTTTGGCCATGACTGTAGACCACAACAGAGACATTTTTTAATGTGTACATTAAAAACATAACGCCATAATTAACTTTGGTAATTGTTTGCCAACTTTTGCCATGAATCTGACAGTTTTATTTATCAAAAGTAACTTTGAATTCACAAAGTTACACTTTATACAACAAAATATTTTGGGGGCCATGAAAAATTTGTGAAAATGATCAAAAATACTGATGCTATCTGGGAACTTTTTTAAAGCGCTGGTGGGGAAAACAGTTAATTTATATGAATTATACATGACTTCTAACTGCTGCTGAAAAGCCTCTTCACTTCATGTCAATAGTTCCTTTTTTCACCTCATTCATTATGCTGATGTTTCAAATCACCAGTAAACTGTCAAAAGCTCATTTCATTGGTGTCAGCTGTGTAAATAAATGATTGTAAATGAGAAAATTATGAATTTTAATTCATTTAATTAACATGTACATAAAAATGTATGTAATGAAGTATTACTTTGTGTTGCTAGTTTGGAGTTATGATCACTGTGGGGCATCTGTTAGAATGCACAAGTCTTTGTTCTCCATTTACATTCTCTTTATTCCAGCTTGTTTCAAGTTACAGGTGGACAGAGATGTGGTTAATTCTTTCTGCACGCACAAATCCACTAATGCAAGATTAACTGCATAAATAACACTAAAGAGCTGATTTCCTTCTGCCCGTCGCTCCACTGCAAACTAAACAACTTCCGCCTAAGAACGCAATAATACGTCAGGCAGTTATATGATGACAGTCTATTAGCGCCCCCTACTGGACTGACCCACACTTTCCTTTCCAACAGCCGCCCCCAAATTTGTTCCACAAATTTGCAGTTATTGGGGCAACCCTTTGCCCTCATCATCTGTAGTAGCGGGGAGGCGGATCAGACGGCTGACAGGTCTGACATATGTCCGATCATTCACCTTAACTTCTGCTGTACGTATTCGACCATCAGCTCCGGTGAACACCTTGCTTATCCGTCCAACTGGCCATAGTGCTCTCGGCAGCTGAGGGTCTACTATGAGCACCACTGTGTTTGGTTGGAGGGGATCTGTGTCAGTTTGCCATTTCTCCCGGATTTGCAAAGCAGGCAAGTAGTTTTTTAGGAACTGTGACCAGAATCTATCTGCAAGGACTTGACAGGCCCTCCAGCGCCTCCGACTGAGTAAATTGGAATCATGGTAAATAGTTTGTGGCAGTGAAGGGTCTAGCCGCCCCATCAAAAGGAGATTTGGGGTAATTGGATCTGGGTCAGCCAGATCAGAGGAGACATAACCCAAGGGTTTTGAATTCAGGATTCCCTCAATTTCAATGAGGATGGTGTTGAGCATCTCCTCAGTCACAGTCTGGGCATTGAGGGTGGCATTTAAGGCTGTCTTTATGGAACGGATTTCCCTTTCCCAGGTACCTCCAAAGTGAGGTGCATTGGGACGGTTGAATATGAACTTAATCTGGTGCTGTGCCAGGTAAGTTCGCAACGAAGGGTGCATGGCTTTGAAGGCGTCATGGAGTTCTCGCTCACCTCCTTTGAAATTTGTCCCTTGGTCCGACAGTAGCTCAGCAGGCTTGCCCAAATGAACAATGAACCTCCTCAGGGCCATTAGAAAGGAGTCTGTATCTAGACTGGTCAAGATCTCAATGCTCTTGTAGCTTGTAGTTAAGCATTTAAATAGGATCCCCCATCTCTTTTCATTGCGGCGACCTATTTTAACTAAGAAGGGCCCAAAGCAGTCCACTCCAGTAGAGAAGAACGCAGGACACTGCAAACGAAGTCGGGCGGGAGGCAGATCTGCCATCTGAGGAAGGATTGGGTGTGCTCTCCATCTCTGACATTCTAGACAGGCACGTTGCTCTTTCCGAACAGCTTCACGACCCCGAAGTATCCAGTACCTGCGTCGTAGTTCTCCAAAAAGTCGCTCAGAACCAGGGTGCTTTAAGCTACTGTCTACATGTCGAATGAGCATTCTAGTCACGAGGTGCTTCGGATCCAGAACAATTGGGTGAACTATTTCTGGTTCCAGCTGGTTACATCTACATAGTCTGCCACCAACACGAATGATGTGTACATCTTTGTCAAGTTCAGTTGCCAGCAGAGCTAGACGGCTCGATGGTGGTACTGGTCTACCAGAGACCTGGTCACCAGCTTCTCATTCTTGTATGGCAAAACATCGAGCTGCCAAAGCCTTTCCACATGGTGATGCAGCTCAGCTGATGGGGAGAGTGTTGCAATGAACAGTCATGACTGGGTTCCATGTTGCAGTGGTAAGCACTTAGTAGGGCCTTGAAGTGTCCAGCCAAGTCTCGTCTTAACTGCCACAGGACCCCCAGGTGGTCCTAATCTTACTGGCTGGATTGGGGTTATTAAGTGCGGGAAGTCTGATCCAATGAGAAGAAGGGGTTGGGCACATTTGATTTCTGGCAAGTGCAATTTTCTCAAGTATTTGTATTTGCGCTGCAATCGTTCCACTGGGTATGTGTGCTCCGCTAGACCCAACTGAACTGCAGTAAAAGCTCCTCCGATCTTATAAACTCTCTCGGGTTGGCTGGCTGGTGAGATAGTGAAGGACACAGAGGAACCTTGTATCACTCGTAAGTCTTGTCGCACTGTTCTCAGTGTGAGGCTCTCTGAGGGACCCTGGAGTTTTAACTTCAGTGCTGCCTCCTGGAGGAGAATTGTTCGCTCTGATCCATCATCTAGGATAGCGTAAGTTTCCAGGGTATGATTACCGTTCCGCAGGAGAACTTTACTGACCTTGAGGAGGACTTGGTTGCATCCAGCCTTTCTGTCCAGATAAAGAATGTCAGTAGAGGAATTTACAAGTCCACAAAGTGTTTCAGCACTGGCTTTCTCCTCTTTTGACGGTTCTTCTGTTTTGGTGTTAACATCATGAAGAGCATTCAGATGTTTGCCTTTACAGGTGCAACAGCTGACTCTCAGACGACACTGTGCTGCTTGGTGGCTGCGGCCACATCTCCAACAGCGACCGTTGTTTATCACCCACTGTTTCTGCTGCAGTTTA